TCCTGATGGCTAGGCGGGCGCCAGCTGCCCGTGAGGGGCGTCCTTACCTGTCCATACAGGGTCACGAAGGTGTCCGTCTCCATTGTCTCCAGCAGATCCTCAAGCACGGCACTTTGCTGATGCGCTTCTTGCAAACTGGAGCAGAATTAACACCGACCTGAGTCCACGCTGGCCACAACGGGGTGCTGTGAGCCGCGCGTCCCCTGCCCTTTCTCGCTGATGCCCACAGAAAAAGGGCTCATCGTTCTTGCCTAGAACCACATGCCAGGAGCCCTGGTGCCATCGTCGTGGTGATGCATCATCGGGCTGCTAGCCACCAGGTGGTCAGCAGTTCGAAACCACCAGCTGACCCAAGCGAGAAAGATGGGGCTGTCTACCACCTGGAAGAGTTTCAGTCTTGCAAATCCACAGGGGGCAGTTCTACCCCGTCTTAGTAGGCTGTCATAAATCTGAATCAATTCCACGGCGGCGAGTTTCGTTTTCCGGAGAACCAGATGGCACCAAGTGGCTTCCATCTCCTGGAGACACCTTCCGCCCACCCACCCCCATGTGTCTCAGGCAGAGCTGAGCTCCATGGAGTGATCCAGGCTGATTTGGGGGTGAAGCCCCTTCAGTAGCTGGTTTTCTCTCCGACTTTTTATCTGACCGCTCTGTTAGAGGTTGCCCTTGTGGGAGAGCAGTGATACCATCTCCCCCCACCCCCTGCCTGCCCAGTGCCCCTTGCCGTTCCCAAAAGAAACAGGAAAGCCACGTTAGGTGCGGGAGACCCCAGTGGTATTGAAAGGGAAGTGTCACACGTCGGAAATGACAGCTCAGATGACGTGAGCTACCGCCCAGCGGCTCTGACCGCGCAGAGGAAGGTCACGCCTCACAGAGCGCAGAGGCCCAGCCGACGGTGGGCAGGCGCAGCCCAGGGACACCCCGGGCTTCGTTTACCTCTGCTGCTGGTGTTCCAGGGTCTTCTGAGCCTTGCTGAGAGCCCGCTGCAGCATGGCGGAGACCTGTCCTTCAGAATCTGCCTCCGCGGGTGTGTCTGGGAGCCCGGGGTCCTGGGCGCCGCACGGCTGCCTGCTCAGCAGGGCCTGCTGCTGGGAAGCGGCCTCCTGGCAGGCCAGCTGCTCCTCCAGCCTCCTCTCCAGCTCCTGCAGCTCCTGCGGCCAGAAGGGCCCACAAAAGGCTGATGGACCACAGCCCAACACCTGGCCTCCGGAGCATGCCGTTGGGAGCCGGGGAGGGTTGGGGCTCAGCCGCCTTGCTCCCTCCAGCTGTGCCAGGTCCATGTGACAACCAAGCCTCAGGCTTCCAGGCCTCTGCCTGTGCTGCCCCTCAACCTGAAATGCCTTCCTCCTGCCAGCCTGATGGTGATGGATGGAGTGGTGTCCCTAACTCCCCAAAAGGACTCACGGCTTAAACCCTGTATCTGAGAACATGACGCAGTGGCCCTGGGCAAGATGGACTGCCACCGTGGACACAACAGTGAGCTCGGGCGTAGGAACCGCTGTGAGGACGGCCCGGGGTGGGGTGGTGTCTGGTCCTGCTGTGCACAGGTTGCTAGAGCTGGAAGGGACGGTGGCACCTGACAACATCAACAGGCAGTTGTTCACCTGGCTGTACTAGCACCAGGA